GTAGATTCGAACTCTTGAGCCCTGTTAAAGTGGGGACTTGTCTATTTCAAGTTTTTAAGGCTTTGACATATTAGGTAAAGTGAAAAGAAAAAAAAAAAAAAAGGTTTCTAAGAGTATTGATCATTTCAATATCCTCCATTGGATTCTCTTCTGGTCCGATGATATCATATCAATTCATTCAATAGTTAGTGGATAAAGATAAGTCGTTAATGCCAGCAAAGATTGTTAGGAGAATGACGGTTCAGCCCATGGTCAGAATTTGTAGGTATAAAGTACTGTTGGGGTAGGTGCTACCTCGGAATTGATGCAAATTTACAGGCGTACATAGAATGTGAGTTATTGACATTTTGAATGTTTATAACTCTGGAGTGGAAATCAGACATCTGCATTGGGCCTGTTGGTACTTCTCCAAAGATTGTTTGGGTGTGATAACACACCTCTGACCCAACTGAATCACCCACAGAGAAAACAATTCAGCAACTTCCAGTGAATTGTGAAAATGCCTATGGATGATGGAAGCTAAGGGTGTCAATGGACCGGTTTTGGACCAGACCCCATATATTAGATTGGAGTGGACCTAATCCGTCCATATATAATAAATTTATATTGGATTCTGTTGGATTAAACCAATATCCATTCCATTAATATAAGATAAGAATATAGGTATTAATGGACCGGGATTGGATTGAAACCAATCTAAGTTAAAATGATTTTGAACAGATTGGATGGTCCAAACATTAAATTGGATTGGTCCAAAATATTTATTAGATTGGATTGGACCTGATCCATTTGTAATGAACTCACGTTGGACTGGATCGGATTGGGTCAAATCCAATCCAATTGACACCCTTAATGAAAGCAGCGCCCAATGGGTGCATTATGAAAGACCATAATGGCCAAATAATCCCCACAAATAATCGAAGCCCATGTCTTAGCTCTACAGGTATGCGATAACAATCAAAGGTGACTCACTATTGGTGATCATGCACCAAGACAAAGCCAAGCCTCCATGGTCGTGCAAGACTGCAAAGTCTTAAAACAATCCAAGAACTCTCAGATCTCATATAAAACATACTCATCGCGAAGAAAATCAGCGATTGATTGGCTCACGAACAAAGGTCATATTCGAGAGGAAGAGTTAACTAGCCCCATTCCTTGGTACCTTGCTTTTCCTTTCCTTCATGGATTATGTGGGCAGAGTTGAATTTATTACAAATAGAGGTGGATTCGAGCTGAGCTGATCCGAATAATTAGTTATTCAAGCTCGGTTTGCCAAGGTAGTATGAGGCTTGAGCTCCAACTTAGCTCGAGTCAAAAGCTAGTAAGCTCGAGCTTGACTTGAGAAAAATGCTTTATAAAAATAATAAAAAAATTATATATAAAAAATAGTTTTTATTTGATATTTAAAAAATTAAAAATTATGATAATTAGTTATTATTATATATAAAAATATTATATCTATAATATTTTATTATATATATATATATATTATTTTTTATATTATTATTATTATTATTATGTAGCTATTCGAGCTCAGCTCGTGAAGTTCAAGCTCGAAGCTTGGTTGAAACCGAACTGAACCGAACTCGAATAGCTCATGAAGAACTCGACTCATGGCCAACCTAATTACAAATGGTGGTATGCTCATTTTTCATCAGAAGTGGCTGAATTGTTTTGCCATGTATTTGGGGTTTGGTATAGCTTCTTTCCTGTTAATCCCTTATCTAGACTAGACATGGAGGCTGACTCATTTTTGCCTTGAGCCATGGACTAGTGGTTCAATCATCCAGGTTGAATGGGTCACATGCAACATATATGCTTGTATTATGTCATTTAAATTGTATAAATATATCATCCATGTAATATATATGCATGTATTATTTTATGTCTAGCCTTAAAAATATTGCACCCAAAAGAAGTCCATACGACATTTTAGATGGTTTGATTGTCCGAATTAATCAACAACGGATTGAAAACACAACATCATAATAGGAAAAACTTGGCTGTTTGAAAAACCCAAATGTTTTAGGGTTTCACGTACATGACACCTAGCAGTATGCATGATATGACCACCCTAATGGCTTGAACATTTCCCTCCATGGTTACTATGCAGTCGAAGCATTCTATCGACCAATGTCCCTAAAGAGTGAAGGGTCATGGAGAATATATCAAACCCTACTGACACAATCATATGTCCCATTGAATTGATAATGACTGACAATGTGATACTTGGAATTCTTTCCATATACCATATTGCCTTGGTCAGGGGCTTGAGTCGATATCAATTTTAGGTGCATAAGACATTCTCTCTCTTTAAGGATCGTCGACACAAATATGATGATAGAAACAGTCATTAACAAAGGAAAATCCATGTGATTGTTTTATTGATGGATCAAGTTTAGTGAATTTGTTCACTAATAAGCATCTACATACTTGCTTTAGGCTATGTTTGGAAACGATGCAAATAAGTGTGAACGCAAATGTGTAGAGTGTAAAACGGTTCATATAAATTATAAAATTGGGTTAGTTTTGCATTGATAAATTTACATTTTTACCAAACAAACTTTTAGTTGTAATGGATGCAAACATGAATTTCAACAAAGCATATGCTTTTTTTTTATCAAAAGCCCACTTGAATGCAAATTTACTTCTTTTTATTGATGTACTTTTACATTTTATTGTCAATGTAAATATGCATTGGTTTGTCATTTGTCAATGCATAAATGTAATGTTGCCAAACACAGGCAAAAGTGAACCAGAGTGCGACCGTCCAGTCCAAAATCAATTTGGACGGATTGATCAGACCAAAAAGACAGTGGATTGGACCAATCTGGTCCAAAATATTTATTAGATTGGATTGGACCTAGTCCATCCGTAATAAATTTATATTGGATTAAGACAATATCTAATTCATTGATATAAAATAAGAATATAGGTGTCAACAGACCAAATTAACTAAAATGAATTTGAACAAATTGGACGGTCCAAATATTGAATTGGACCGATCCAAAATGGTCCAAATTGGATTGGACCTAGTCCATTTATATTAGACTCGCATTGGGCTGAATCAGATTGGACCAAATCTAGTACAATCGACAACCCTACCTCCGACTAGGAAGTATTTAAGATCATGTACCAAGAAGAATATATCTCAAATTCTTAACATGCTTAAGAATATATATTCTTGACATAGATTGCAAGGACTATTTATATAATAGATAAAACATGAATGGTGAAACTACCCATGGTTGAGTATAAAAATGTAAATAGTATAAAAATGCCCTACTTTTAGTACTGTCCCATGGTTGAGTTTAAGTCACATAACTAACAATTTATTATTGGAAAACATAAAAGAATATGATAATCAGATTTCTCAAGTGCAGGTCAATGACTTATACTAAATTTACCCATATCATGAAGCCTGCAAATGTTTCTTAACTAGTCAAATTTGCTTTTAAAAGAAAAGAGCACAAAACATTAAGGTCCCATTTACTTTTTGAAAAGTTATTTATTCGGGTAAATGCAATTATTTGAATAAGTTTTTTCTGAGAAACACTTACCCAGGTTATTTATCCATATTCTTTTATTTCTCAAGTAAAAAAGGAAATGACCATTTTAATCATAAAAAATCATTATTAAAAGGGGCATTTTTTTTGTCCCATTCAAGTGTTGGAAATATTACCCTCAAGTGGGAAAATTATTTATCCACCTAAGAAATGGGTATCACTTATCCGAATAAGTGATACCCAAAAAAATAAACTTTCCCTTCTCCCCTCATTAATCTGAAAAAAGAACATGTGATTCTTGGTCAATAGGAACCAAAATCCCAATGACCAGATTTCCCCCTCTCAAAAACCAAAAAAAGAAAGCCCCCTAAAGGTGATATACAATATAGGCTTGTTTTACAATATTTGTCAGGAAAACAAATGAGTAGAATCCAGAATTATGGGATGGGAATTAGGAAAATGGAAACAAGAATATTGCAAAAACTTCGTTGAAAAATATCTAAATAGCAATAATCATACCTTTTTGGTAAGTAGCACTAATCATACTTACTGGTGTAATTACTGTGCTGTAGCGTGACCAGATGAATCCAGTACATATAACCGTAGGAAACCGTAAAGGGAGATATTTACCATTAGTTTATAATAATTAAACCAAGGCGTTTGCTAACAGAAAACAAAATTTCCATGAGAAGGAGCTGACCCACTCATTGGATAAACTTTGAATGGAGGGTGAGAAAGCTTTTCTGGTGGTTTAGAAAAGTCGGCAACATTTGCTGTGCTGAATGCTGATACCCATTTAAAGGTTGGACCATGGAGCCCAGAAGTGAATTGCAGTTAGGATGAGTAGGCTTGGGCCTGGAGATTTGCGGGCCGGGCCAACAATTCCCGACCGAGTTGGCTCCCACCGGTATCTCTCTCTCTTCCTTTCTTCTTCATTCTTGGTTCAAGGAATTAACCAGAGCACCAGAACTGCCGAGCATCGTTTAGCTTTGGTAATCAAGCGTGAGGAGTGTAAATGGTTCTCGTTATCCGGTCCCCATTTACACTCAGCTAAACCGGAGCATCGTTGATTTAATTTCCACCTGCATTTTTTGTGTTTACACCATAAATCAGTGTTTTTAATCGCTATTGACCCAGATGCAGATGGTCAGACCATTCGGCTCAGGAATCCTTCAGGTAACCAATTTCATTTCACCCTTAATTCGGTCTTTGGTCAAAAACTATTGTTTTGGTCTATGACCCGCTGACCCAAAAGGTCAAACTATTTCTTTTATTTTTTAAGTTAGAATGAACTGTCCATTCCAACTGAATGGTTGAACTGTTGACCCAAAAACCAATAGCTAAAACGGTTTGGATTCTGAGTCATTTTTTAAAACCTTACCGCAAACGAACGTAAGATAAGTTCTACTTTTTTCCGGCCAAAAATCCCAAAAAACAAATCAATAGATGACATTACTGATGAGAAATGCATCCGTTCAAATTTACTCTTTACACCATTAGTTACCCAATGTATCAGTTTTTGAACTTTGAAGTAGTCGCTATTTGACATTCATTCATGATTCATGGGAACAGACTAGGTCTGATCTCTGATGTATGGGTTTGTTAATATTACCAACTGCTGCAACCATCCCTTCATTACCTGCCAATATCAAATACTTGTCCTTCCGTGTAAGCTTTGTGCATTGGAAGCCCAACGCCTGACCAATCCGCCTCTGCACATGATTTGCCACGTCGAACCTTGATGGCCCACCATCGCAACACGTGGACGACCCTGATACCTTGTCTAGCAGACGGACCTTGTAGGTGGGAAATGGGTTCATGAGAAAGAAAAGTGGGTCCAAGCATTTCAGGCCTGCAGCCGTTGTTCCATAAAACATGCTCACCTCTACGTCCATGGCTACAGGAACAATCTCGTCGCTCATCTCCGCGAACAGAGGGCTGAACCTCAGCAGATACGGCTCTCTACAGGTGGTGCCTTCGGGGCAGACGACGAGGTCACCTCGGCCCAACATCTTCTTCATCGTCTCTGCGTCTCGCTCTCTGTCTCTCGTCAATCGGACTGTTTTGATCGGCGACAAGAGCTCCGACACTCTACTTAGGCTGTACGTGACTGCAGTGAGAGGTTTGTTGAGGGCAGCAGAAAGGTAGACCGGGTCCAAGAGGGTTCTGTGGTTACAGACGTAGAGAGTGCCTTTTGCTTTACGTGTGGGGATGACTGAAACAGTAGTTGGTGAAGATTTCGGTTTTGTTTGTCTGCGTCTCATTCCTGTGAGGGCTAAAATAGGACCAGATATATTATAGGGCAATAATAAACCGGCCACGGTTCTGATGATGGCAAGAAGTAAACCCATCGGGAACCACATGAACGCAGCTAGAGTGGCTTGTGGCGTTGGTCTGAAAGCTAGTCTACCATCATGGAAGATGAGCGGTTTGGGATAGTTTTCCTTTGGTAGATGACTCCAGCTCCTCTTCTCTGCTTCATTCACCCAGTAAATCTCCTGTAGAGAGAGAGAGAGAGAGTTAGAGAGTGAGAGAGGTGTTCAGTGTTCATGTACTGATTCATGAAGTCTTAAGTTCTTAAAATATTGACTTACCTTGCACTGGGAAAACAACAGATGATGAAGATGTTTGTTGGAGCCAGCAATTCCAACAACATGACTACTCGGTTTGTCTTCTCCAAGCATCTTCTCCAAAACCAGACTGGTTTTCTCCTTGTCTTCCATTAAACCCAGAAAATATCCACGAAAGACCACCAACTCTCTACCCACGGCAAATTCAATGCCCAGGTAATCTCTCAAGAATCCTTCGATCATTACTCTGGGCAAAGCACTCACACCCACATTTCTCTGGAACTTCATCAGCGCCTCGAAGCCTTCTAACCCAACATCATTTAACAAGTACTTTGGCAACACAGCTCTCCCAACTCTGAAGCTCTCCGCTTTAATCCCAAAGAAACAAACGAAGACCATGATCTTCAACCCCATCTCTTGGCTAACCATGCAGACAAAAGGGTACAAAAGAAACAGAATAAGAGACCTCAGTAAGCCACCTCCCTCGAAGGCCACAAGCATAAAGTATGGAAACAAAGAAGGCGACCTCAGCAACAGACCCTCCACATCAAAGATGAGAGTTTGGCTGGAGAGCTGGGGTTTACAGGAAAGGGAAATGTACTTTTGAAATTTGAACTGGGTCGTCTGAGAATTGCCACCCTTTCTCCAGAGAGAACGTGGGTTTCTTAGTCTTCTGAGGACAATCCTAGAGAAGAAAAACAGGTCTCTCAAGGAGGCCTTACCAGCCATTTCGGTTGCTATGGGATTTTTGGTAAGCTAGAAGCAAAATTTATACGATTATGAGCAGAAAAATGCCCTATATTTTTTCCTTTATTACAGTAATGCTTATTTCAATTAACTAACTGGGGCCTGTCTGTTAGGCCAAAAAAAATAGTTTTTTTTTTTTAATTTGGTAATGAAAGATGCATGGAAGTGGTAAAGGCCCATCTCCCATAAGGTCCGTGAAAGCCCATATCTGCTGAAAATAATGAAGCTGCCCGTATTTCTGCGCCTAAAATCTTTCATTCAACAGTCCGATAGATCTAGATATTTGTATTTTTACTTTTCGGGAATAAATGGAACCTTAGGTTGAATTTGGAAGAAGTACAAATGCAAATACATACAAAACACAAGGTTTTGCACACTATATATTTGTATTTGTACTCCTTCCAAACTCAGCCTCAAAGACAAAATCCCAAGAACTATGTGAGGGTTGGTAAGTCTTTTCATGCGGTTTTCTAGGCTTTAGAAAGCTCTCCATTTGATAATCAAAAGCCAAAAAGATGAGAAAACGTGTGTGAAAAGACCCAAAAAACCAAATTTCAAAAAGCTTCAAATGAAGCTTTATGGTCTTTTTGTGTGATAAATAGCCTCTAAACATGTTTCTAAAAGTTTAGTAAACTGAGCTGATTACCAAATGGTCTATCTTTAAAGATAAGACGCTAAAAACTCAACATGTCTTTTGGCTATCTAGAATTGAAAGATCTTTCTAAAAAGACTTGTGATACGAGACATTAATATATTATCTTTTCACCATATCAACTCTCAAAAGATATTCTTAAAAAAAGATTAATTTGTGAAACAACACATGATGGAAAATTATATTGGAATTATCTAGAAATAGGATTCAACATATTTTCCCCACTTGTGGACTAGCATATAGGCAGTAAGGCGTGGCCTATATATATGATTTATGAAGCCTAACGAGCTTAAAATAAAATTTGTTCGATGACTTATCCAAACACTTTCTTATTTGGCAGGCCAGCCATCCTTTCAATATTTTCACTCAATTGAATGACTCTAGCTGACCCTATTTGTTATTTGTAATTGATTTCTAATGTGAATGAAAGAGAATTGCGTTTGTCCTTCCCCTAATAGTGCCGACAATTGAGGTCTCAACTCTCAGAATTCTAACATGAAGTAGTGGAAATTCAAAAACAAAGCTTAATTTTCAGTTTTTCCTAGGTTGGATACTAATGTCTTGGATAGAGATACTCGCCCCTTCTCTTTCAATGATGTTAATTCAAGCAGTACGAATCATGTGCTGAAAACTAAAACGAAATAACTCTTTTGTTGACTAGTCTAGCTGTCTGATCTAGTCCAAATATTATTTTGGGTTCTGGCCTGTTAGGCCTGGTTGAAATCTCCATTAATCTCCAACAAATACCTTACACCCTAAAAATTGAAATCAATTGGAATGGGATTTCATTCTGAAGGGAAAGAAAATAAATGTTCATGAAAGAATGCCATTCTACCAATAATGAAAATAAGATTCTAATTCTGTTCAATCAAACAGTTGGAATCAAAGTGGTCCATACATTTTTAGTTTTACTCTTTTAGTCATTTTACTTTTACAGAGGCATGTACACTTACGCTAATATATTAAATGGCAATCATCATTCATTGAGATTTTCCTCTGATTTCATTTGATTTGTTACTGATATCATTGATACCCATCTCTTCCTGTTTAGTTAAACTTCAGCCAAACGCATCACATGATTCCAACTTTCCATTTCTTTGTCTACGTACTACTAGTTTCACATTAACTATGGCAAAGACTAGCCATGCACCACCAACTCTGATGAGATATTATGCAGATCTGTACCATACTTGCTGTGATATTGTCCTTTATATATATATATATATATATATATATATATATATGAAAGAGTTTTTCTTTTTTTAACAACGATTTTCTATTTTTCTCACAGTAATATCAGCAGTCTCTGTTTCTCCAGCCACGAGTCTGACCATTACGTCGTTCTTCATCATATCGTTTTTTGAGTTGATGATTAGACAATACTAATGGTTTATTTTGCCACGATTAATCTCAACGTACGAGCTGAAGCGCTGAATCCGCTGATTATTATTATAGGAATCACGTGCCGAAACGGAACAGCAAGGTTTAGCTGAATTCTTTAATTGTTTAACGGGCTCTAACCTAAGGGTGATCATATATATATATAACATGACATGTATAATTTATATTATATGTAATATTTTATATTATATAATGAATAAAATAAGTTTATATACATGTTATGTCATTTAATATAAAATATTATAAACATATAATGTTTTATACATGAAAGACATTGGCCCAGAATCAGGTCCAGCCCAATCCGGCCCGGCATAGGCCCATGTAGACCTGAGATAGGGCTTATGTTTCAGTCCCAAAACCCCGGGTTAGGCCGGGCCTGGGCCTAAGCTATAGCCCTTATCATAAGTTTAAAGCCCGGCCCTGCCCGGCCCACTAGCTGTAAGGTTCTATGTTAAAAATATAATACATGGAGACCGCACTTTTCACAGTGGGGCCCATGAATTTATTACTGGTATGAAACCTCACAGTCACTTGCAATCATGTATTAAGAATGCTACATTTTTATTCGTGGGGTGATATTCTCAATGCATAGCTACAAATGGCAGTGAAGACTGTGTGAGCATTGTCTTATGAGTACTGAATCCGAGTTCCATGAAAATGGCTTTACCAGCCATTGGTTAGACCTAGCTTGTTAGGGCCAGCGATCCATAATGACTTATTTAGGATTTGAGGGGCAGTTTTCGACTTGACCTACAGGTCAAATACAGACTAATCTCTAGTGTGGTAATAGAATTTGGATTTAGTCCACACAACACCTGCAGCCATGTGAAATATCTCTGTTTGTATATATTGCGCTTTTAGCTAGGTTGTGTAATTGGCCAATTGGGTATTATACCATTGGTTTTTCAACCTCAAGGGTTTTGGGTTGAAACACCATTTGTACTTCAAACAGCAGTACCATCACTTGCACTTGAATTCTATTTGGAGCTCAGATCTGCTCCCAACACTGTCCCAACAGATCATTAAAGTTGCACATGGACAACATAGGGAATTGGGATCTTCTCCTCACAAAGTGTGTCTCACACCAACCTTATAGCCACATTTCACCTTGTACTGGGAGCATCTCCCCATGAATAATAAATACAAGTATGGGAGATGTTCCCAATGTACAGGCAGGACATACTGTGAGGTCGTTGTGAGGCACACTCTGTGAGGAAAAGATCCAAACTTCCATGAATGACAAGGGAGATATTCCCAATGTGTGGCTGCAGTGGCTTGTTGGAACAGTGTTGGGAGAATTTAGTTGATAACATATTCCTACCATTTTATTTGGTAGTCTGAATCTGCTCCTTATCAGTCTCACAGCATGTCCTGACCGAACATCTTCCTTATATTATTATTCATGGGAGATATTTCCAATACAAGGTGAGGTCAATGTGAGGAGAACTCTGTGAGGACCAATTCGGGAATTGTTTGGTTTTCCATCCATGTCAGCACAACGTCAATATCATATCAGTTAGGAAGTTCAAACTTAAACTTTGATTCCCAAGGCAGGAAACACCAATTGAACATTTGAAGACGTTCCTTCAAACACTTTGCGATGGATTTCCACACAGTGTGTTTTGACTTAAAACAGTCTCCAACCAAACAGATAATTAAAGGTTGAATTTTAGTTAAGTTCCTGCATTTGGATAAGTTTTAGGCTATGTGATTTTAAAGCCCCAGTTTTAAGCTTTATATTTTGGGCTTAAAAGTATTTCTACAGTTCTACTTTAGATTATAACGTCTTTTAAGGTCCCGTTCGTTCTTCGGTAAATTATTTATCTAGGTAAATACATTTATTCAGATAATTTATCCAGATAAATACATTTATCCATGTTATTTCATTTCCTAGGTAAATAAGACAATGGATATTTTAGCCATAAAAACTCATTATTAATTAAAAGGGGCATTTTTGTCATGTCCAAGTGTTTACAATTTTCCCCCAAGAAAATAATTTTCCTTAATTCCCACACAAATCTGTAAAAATAAACATGAGTTTCTTGACCAATGTAATTCACAATCTGATTGACCAACTTTCCCCCTCTCAAAATTATAAAAAAAAATTAAAGTTCAAAACACTAATAGAATTCATAGTAATATTAGTAAAGAAAAAAAAATGGCGAAAACAAAAAGTTAATTCCAATTTGTCTTAGAGAATTGACCTTGATTAATCTTCCCTCAACAGATGTGAAAGCAACGATTATGATGGATGGAAGGAGAAGTTGTATAAGTATTGCGTTAGAGCAGAGATGATGATGTTCAGCCAAGTTGCCATTGATAATACACGCTACAACGACCTCATCTTAATCTATGACACCATTTTTTTTCTGAAGTAAACTCCAAACCTCTGCGCCTAACTTCCTACCCACCTTTGAAAATTATTCCAAAACACTGTTAGCGTGAGTTGGACTGAGTCAAGTACTTGAAGTAAAAGCATGGAATTCATAGTAGTTCCATGCCAACATCGACTGACTCCCCCCCCC